CGGGGCTGCGGCCACCTCTGCCGGCCCTCCCTGAGACTTGGTGGCCACCGGGGCGCCGCCCGGCTCCTCGACGTCGGCGGCCTCCACACCGTCACAGCTGTCGCCTTCCGAGCTGGGTGCGGCGCGGCCGCTTCGGGCCGAAGGTGAGTCGCTGGCACCGGCCTGGCCCTGGCTCCCGGCTTGAATCTCCTCAATGAACAGTTCTCTGCGGATCCGAGACCTGCAAGAGCAAGGGAAGGAAGGCCCCGTGAGGTCCTGTGCACGGCCGGGCCTCACTTCTGCCCCCATCACCTGCCATGGTTACTGCCCGCCCCCCTTACCCAAACTCTGCCTCTGTGTTGAGAGGCCACCACCTTCTCTCTGCCACTTAATTTTTTTGAGATAGGATCTCGTATCCTGGGGCTGGAGAGATGGCTCAATGGTTAAGAGCATGACTGCTCTTCCAGAGGACCCGGGTTCAATTCCCAGCAACCACATGGCAGCTCACAGCTGTCTGTAAGTTCAGATCTCCAGGATCTGACACCTTCACACCAATGCATATAAAATACAGTTAAAAAAAAAATCTCGTATCCCAGACTAGCCTTGAACTTGCTAATTAGCCAAGAGTGACCTTGAATATCCAGTCCTGCAGCCTCCATTTCCCCAGTGCTGGGGTTCCAAGTGTGCACCACCACACCTGGTTTATGTGGCGCTGGGGAGAGGAGCCAGGAATCCGTGCATGCTAGGGAAGCACTCCATTAACTGCGCTACATCCTCAGCCTTATCTGTGAGACCCGGTCTTGTTATGTAGTGACACCAGCTCAGGGACAGTCTTGATTTGTCACGCGGCTCACTTAGCCTGGCCTTGAACAGAGGGTCCTCCTGTTCCAGCCTTCTGAGAGCTGGGATTCCATCGTGCAGCTACTGACTGGCCCATTTCTTCCGTCTTCATCTCACTCTGATGGTCCCTTAACCAGCTCCTTCCACTCTGTGCAACAAGCATGGTTCCTGGCACGTGATAACACTCACTGACTAAATAAAGGAAACTTCACTGGAAAGCCAATTATTGGATGTGGCCTAAGGTGCGAATCTTGTAACTTGAGCTCTGAGCCATAGAAGGTCAGATTTTCTACTGATTCCCTATTCTGGAGGAAGCAGACTCTGAGAAAGAGTCAGCTGATCAAGTGGGAAGGAGACAAATATATGCTTTTAGTATTTCAAGAAAAAATGTGAATGGGTGTTTTGCCTGTATGTGTCTGTGAGCACCACATGTGGGGCTGGTGCACTTGGAGGTCAGAAGAGAGCCTTGGCTCTCCTGGAGTTGGTGTCACCAACAGTGGTGAGCTGCTGTAGGGTGCTGACAATCAAACCAGTGTCCTCTGCAAGAGCAGCAAGTGCTCTTAACTGCTAGGCTATATCTCTCCAATCCCTCAGCGAAGTTTATCCATGTTTATATTTCTTTTGAGATGGGTCTCACTATGAAAACCTGTCTGGAGCTTACCATGTAGACCAGACTGGCCTCGAACTCACAGAGATCTGCTGCCCCTGCCTCCCAAGTGCTGGGATTAAAGGTGTGGGACACCATGCCTGGCTCAACCAAGTTTTTCTTTCTTCCTTTTCTTTTTTTGTGGACAGGGTTTCTCTGTGTAGCTCTGGCTGTCCTGGAACTCACTCTGTAGACCAGACTGTCTTCAAACTCACAGAGATCCACCTGCCTCTGCCTCCCGAGTGCTGGGATTAAAGGCGTGCACCACCACCACCACCACCACC